CACACACACACACACACACACACACACACAGTGATCCTGCTCCACCTGCACAACAACATCTCTGTGACGTGAGTGGGCGCAGAAATCCCCCAGACTCAGGGTACCTTGTGACTCGTGGGTTCTGCCTCTCCACGTCCTTGCAGCGTGGGCAGCGACTTTACAACCATCGCTTCTATCAGACCATTTCTTGTAAACGCGCACACTTAGGAGAACATCACTTCCGGAGTGGGCGGGGGCCGTAGCGACACTTCAGCGCACTCATTGGTCAGAAGCGGCGCTGTCGCTCAGCTATTTCATTCATCAATAAACTCTGTGGGCATCTGTCATCACATCAGGATAACTCACACAGAGGCGAGAGCTCAGGTCTTTATCAGTGACTGAACTAATGTTTTACCTTGGTTGAATACTCATTATTATAATATTATAATCTTTCTTTTTTGTTTTGTTTTGCCTATCATCATCATTTAGTTGCTTTTAAAAAGATCCAAAAACACCAAGATGTCTAACCCTGGAGGCCGGAGGCTGAAGCAGTGGCTGGTGGAGCAGATCCACAGTGGTCAGTACTGTGGGCTCCAGTGGGAGGACGAGAGCCGCACCATGTTCCGGATTCCGTGGAAACACGCGGGGAAACAGGATTACAACCAAGAAGTGGACGCATTCATCTTCAAGGTTTGACAGATCCCTTGTGGAAAGATTGATGAAACTAACATGGTGGATCTAGCTGTTTAAATCTGGTGCTTCTGTGGTCCAATGATAGTATAGACCTGTAACCGTCATTGTTTGATTGGACTGTAATTGATAAACAGACTTCACTTTGAACAGTAACAAAGGTTTCATGTTATTTTCACAAAAATGTGGCCAACAAATTTGAGAACTTCACAGAAAATCAGATTTTCTTTGTGTTTTTTCCATCCTTAATTCCCCCTCCCACACACACACACACACAGGCCTGGGCTGTGTTTAAAGGCAAGTTTAAAGAGGGGGACAAGGCCGAGCCTGCAACATGGAAGACCAGACTGCGCTGTGCCCTCAATAAAAGTCCTGACTTTGAGGAGGTGACAGAGCGGTCTCAGCTGGACATCTCCGAGCCTTACAAAGTTTACCGCATCGTACCCGAGGAGGAGCAGAAGCGTGAGTTTTTCTGTTTTTGCTGCTCTTGTGTTCACTATGAGTCAAAATCCAAATGTTGTCTCAATGATTATTGTATTTATTTTTGACATTTGAACCACCGATGTCTTGAGAGCCTGCATCGCTCTTCTGTGACTCATCATGAGAAAACTATGGATCATTAACAACAGTGCGGCAGCTAAAACCACTGTGTTTGAACCATGAGAAGAAATCACAGAGAGTTATTCTGTCACCCACAGACGGTAAAAACTCAATGATGGCCATGGCAGCTCCAACAAGCTCTGGTGACCTCACTGACTGCAGCCCTGCAGAAATAGAGGAGCTCATGAAAGAGGTGAGGCTGCTTCTCACTTCAAACTGTGAACTTTACCTCTCACCTCTCCTGCTGCACTCTTTCACTTTAGATGCACTTTGCCTTTTTTACCTCATTACTGTTTATGTCAGCACCACCCACTTAATCTCCACAGTTATGACACGTAGGAAGGTGCTGTGTTGAAAACCTTTTTGTGTTGTGGTATTTTGCAGGACGAAGGCTGTAACATCCAGGCCAGTCCAGAGTACTGGTCCCAAGGCAGCATCAGTGGTAATGCAGTTTGTTTTCTCTGCCTTTAGTCTCATCTCTCATGCACGACTCTTAGTTCCGTCTTTGTGAGATTTGAGCTTTAATGTCTTTGAAAATAACCACAGTGGAAAGCTCAGTGTTGACTGTGGGTGCTAAATAGAGGTTGTTTGCTTGTCTGTTAGATTCTGCAATGGAAGGATTGACTAACATCCTGTTGAGCTTTGCTGACTGAGGCGATTATTTCTTTGGGAGAGAAACATTATTTCTGATGATGCAGCAGAGTATGACATGACACTGTGATTGTGTCCACTGCGCTAAAAAGTCTCTTAAGTCTTCCTCCCTTAAATCCACAGCTTTCCCACAGCAGCTGGACCCTTTGCCATCTGGTGCTGTCAGCTCAGGTACGTATTTTGTATTAGATCAGATCCACAATTAAGCATTGATAGTAATAATGAAACATGCAGGGGCTATACCTTAATTCGTATACATGTTCTCCTCTACAGCCTTCTCCCAAATGATGATCAGTTTCTACTATGGAGGGAAGCTGATGCAGAACACACTGGTAACTCACCCTGAAGGCTGCAGGATTTCCCCACAACAGCACCTGGGCCGCAGCATCCTCTACAGTTCAGACAGCATGCAGAATGTTCACTTTCCCCCTGCTGAGCTCATCGAGTACGACCGCCAGCGCCACGTTACGTGCAAGCTCCTGGGACACGTGGAGAGAGGTGTGCTGGTCCGTTCCAACCAAGAGGGCATCTTCATCAAGAGGCTGTGCCAGAGCCGTGTCTTCTGGAGCGGGCTGGGAGACGTGGGCTCGCCGTACAGCTCAGTGCCCTGTAAACTCGAGAGGGATGCTGTAGTCAAGATATTTGACACAGGAAGGTTTCTTCAAGGTAAGTTGTTATTTGAAAACTTTGAAGACTCTTAATCAATGCATGGTCTGACCACTAACTGTTAATGTGCACTGTATGTTCCAGCTGTACAGCTGTACCAGGAGGGTCAGCTTCCTGCTCCTGATCCGACAGTGACTCTGTGTTTTGGAGAAGAGCTCCACAATCTCAACAATGCCAAAAGCAAACTACTCATTGTGCAGGTAGGACCAGTCAAGACGTAACGTGTGTCTCACTCAAACAGTTGAGAAAATGAGCAAAATAAGACTTTTCTTCAACCCAGATATTGGAGTCTCGACATCCTGTCAAATCACACCTCTCTGTCTACTCTCCCTTTGCAGATCACTGTGGTGAACTGCCAGCACCTGCTGGAGGCCGTGAACATGCGTCGCTCCCAGCCTTACTGCAACAACCCAAACCTGGACATGTCTGATGCTGCGACCAATGAGCAGATGGCCCACATCTATCAGGACCTGTGCAGCTACAGTGGACCCCAGAGACCAGCCTGCTACAGGGACAACATGCCGATCACTGCCTGAGCTGTGAGCAGTCATACACCTTCAACATGTACCAGACAAGATCAATTTTCCTCACATACTCTGTGTGGCATGGCTCATTATTAGGATGTACCTAATATAAATATAAAAGTAATGTTCATATCTGTACAGTACTGATACAAACTCAGAAACAGTATTCAGAAATTACACACAACTCACCTGCTGCATTCTGTCGATTGTATTAAGAAATCTTCTATATATTTTACTGAAAGTTTCATAACAACAGTTTGTATGTTCTCTCAAAAGTATTTTATAATGTGTCATTATCTTTGTTGCTGTTATTGCAGCTGAGTCATTTTATGGTGCGGCCATTTGGATAAACTGAACAATATAGGCATTTT